AGGCTAAGGCTAATTAGACTTAAGGCTAAGGCTAATTAGACAAGGGCTAAGGCTAATTAAAAAATATTAGCCTTAAGGCTAGTAACAACACTGGCAGAAGGTGGTTTCATATGCGAACGTTTGTTTTGAAATTTCTGATCGCGTGACGTTACACTAAATTGTGGTTCATTATTGGCTTGTTTTGTCGATCATCACGTGACAGTAAAAATTACATATAAATTTTTCTGGCGATCCTGGGGTAGTTTTCTTTAAACGAACTCTTATTTGGAAGATTATATAAAATGCAGCGATTAAGTTTAGGGTTAGGGTCGATCTGAAATTAAGGACTGGGCGAGTATTACAGGTAAATTGCTCTCCCGACATTTTTTATTAGTGCTTCAAGATAGGTTTAGACACGCATTTTTATATTCAATTTTTTTTTTTGCTTTGTAAAATTTACGATTTGATTGGTAAATCTTCCAAATAAGGGGGATGATTTTTCGAAGTTTTAATTAAACTTAAGGTTAGGACTAGTTTAGTATTAGGGCTAGAGGCTAGGACTAGAACAGGTATATATGTAAAATTGCCTTACCGACATTTTTGTTAATGCCCAAGGCAGGTCTAGACTGTCGCTTTTCGTATTTTTGTGGCTTCATTATTTTTTGACTTTTTCGGGCTGATCCGTGTAAACAAAACTTCGCGATTCCGGTTGGTTGATTTACACAAAAATGTCACGTGGATCCATGGCTTTAGACGACCCCAAATAAGGAAATTGAAGAATGGGTAAGGTTCATTTGATAAACTATCGAATCAATAAAGGTAAATGAGGATTTACAAATAAATAAGAACCGGGTATTCTGGTTTAAAATTTCCGAATATCTAAATCTAATTAGCGTTTAGATGATTTAGATTGTTTTCAAAATTTCACATTACGCCTGATCTTGTCCTCGTGATAGTGTTCGAAAAATATTTGAGAATTAAAAATTCAGAATTTGATTTCTCTTTTAAGAATTTCAGATTTCGTGACTGACGTTGATAGGTAGGTAATAGAAACAGTGAGGTGTTTGAGGTGTTACACGATTATAAGAGGAAAAAAAATAATGCGCGGAGGCAAAATCAAATATATAAATTCATATACATATTTTTTCTAAATCAGTATAGCATATGATTTAAAAAGTATCACTTGCGCCACGTTATAAATCAAATTGATCTTATTGAAGAGGGTCACTTATACTATAAGAGATATTAAAAAAAAAAAAAAAAGATATATTATACATAATTTTATTAATAAGCTCATTTGGATCTTCATAATACATAATCATTTGATAAACAAAAAAAAAGTTATATCTCACGTCTCGTTCCTTCATCACTAGATATAGTTTAAATGTTTGCCTAGATCATTTGGTACAGATTTCCTTCCTTTATATAAATTTCATAAAATGATTATTTGATTGTTAAAAAGGTTAAGTAATTTAATTGAAAAGGTTAGTCTAGCGTCCAATCTTAAGCGTTAGGGTTTGTTATCGGAAATTCTTTTAAAGATCCGACAAACTATTGAACATGGAAAATCATAGAATATGATGAACTTAATTGGCAACACATATAGCGACATTGACATTATTGAATAACAAATCTTTTTGATTGTCCGCAGCTGTGTACAAAAAATTGACTTTTTTAAGATAAAGTCATCAGACTTGCATAGAGATGGGCTCTGTGCTCTTGACTATGTCTCATTTGCGTTATATTTAACATTATAAGTAACTTCATTCTCTAAGTACGTATTAGAAATTAAAATATAAATAATTTTCTATGGTTTTTCTTGTTAAAAACCGTCGATTTTTCAACGTTAGCTTTTTTGATCGAATCCTTATAGCTAACCATTCTGTTCTCTTCTCTTTCTTTTCCTTCTTTTATTTTATTTTTTTTTTTTTTAACGTGTATTTAATAATATGAATTTAACAGCAAATCTAAAAAAAAAAAACGTAATTAAACAAAGTGATATACCAAGTGATATAAAATTATTGGTCATATATAAAGGGCACCATGTTACCAAAGTCGAAAAATGATGAAAATTTTTCTAACGATGAAAATTTTCCTAATGATATTGAAAAGCTTGAGAGCGATAACTCTAATTGTTCTCGGACGGCGCGTTCTGTTGATCTGCCGTCCGGAAATAACTATCATGAACAAGAGGAAAATCTAGCTTGTTCGAGTGTCTTACATTCAGATAACAAGGTTCATGCAATTGCCAATAATCAAAATAATCCTGTCGCAAATAAAGAATCGAAGCCAGCATCGATAGCTCGTAATGCACGTCCACAATCCAGAATTATTGTCAGACCCCCTTACCCACCGACCATTAAACCTAGAGACTTGGTTGATAACCTACTTAAAATCAAGTCACGGACACCAAAAATGCTGAATGAATTTTTTATCTACCGTAAAGCTCTTGTTCAAGAGCTTAAAAAAAAAAAACTTCGAGTTAAAATGACACTAGTGTCGTCTCAAGCGTCTACTTATTGGCATCAAGAAACACAGCAGGTTAAAGAAGGTATCATTTATTTATTCTATATTCAAAGTATATACTAATGTTTAGGATAAATTTGCCACTTCAACTAAACCTTTTATCTAATGAAATTATTATTTCTAACAAGAATTCTTTAAAGGTTATGTTTAATGTGATAAGAGGACAAATTTATCAAAACGCACTAAATATATATATATATATTTCTTTTTAATCTATCTCTTACTCATTTAATATCTGTTAATTTGTAATCACATTCGTAAAAAGCATATAGAAAACTTGCGCGTGAAACAGAAAGATTGTATCTGCAGGAAAGAAGAGAAAGAAGACAACCGCAACAATCTTCAAATCCTTCTACAAATCTTGAAAACGCATCTAATATTTCAATATCTTCCTCGGTTTCCTCAGAAGCTGTGATTTCTGTTTCTGCATCCCATTTTAAGGACATCGAGCCCATTTTGGAAATCAATTCATCTGATACTTCATCTGATACTATGTTCAACAATTCACCTGCATCGATCTCATGTATTTCAAACAATGGTATAGTGTATATTTTTTTTTCAAATTAACGTAACATTTACGAGAAGCTCATAAACAATTCAATTTGAAGGTATCTCAGATTACATTCAAACATTTCCAGCACAGAACACATACGATCAAAATCAAAACACATTATGCCCTAACGCTAATGCATCGAACCCTTCATTTAATCCAGTCAACTTCGATTTTCCTATTTGGAGAAATTACGATCAGTCATTGACTGTAACACAACCCGGTCAATATAGATATACATCACCCAATTTATCGGTTGATAGTGATAATTTTTTTACACCAATTGTACCTTCTCAAAGGGATCAGCCTGATCCGGCAACAGAAAATGAACGTGCCATATAAGAAATTCAAAAATAAGATTCTTGTTATTTAATTATATACCTTTTCGCCTACCATATAATCAGTAAGATTTTAAATAGATTGTTTTGTTTCTTTTTAAATATTACGCGTGCGCATGTCATAGATGACAGTTTTTTTCACCTAAATAAACGATAGCATATAACACGAAACATAATATTCGTAATGCGATACGTCATATAAGAGAATTGTAAGTATGTACGTATACTTCTTATATTATATGTATTATAGTATCGCTTGTGATATTTTTATTTTATATATTATTAAGAGTTTAAGATATTACAAATAAATCCTTATTATATAATGATAACGCCTCAGTACTGTATGTTTTGAAATTTTGAATGTAATCTGAGATACCTTCAAATTGAATTGTTTATGAGCTTCTCGTAAA